CCGCCGAGCGGGGGTCGTCCACGCTTGCCCGCCCTGCCACCCCCCGCGGCCGAAAGAGGTCATCCCCGCCCTTCTCTGACCCCCAGTGTCCTGGCAACCCTGCCTTTGGGACTGTTTTCTGGCTTTCTGCTCTGTGACCCTTCACCCCCTGCTCTCCCTCCCTCGGAAGCCTGCTGAGGAGGGGTCTGGGCAACATCGTCTCCTGAGAGACTGGCAGAGCCTTCCCTACCCCCGTATTTGGGAAGCGCAGTCGTACTCCCTCCGGGGAGGCCTTTCTCGGCTGTCCGAGTCTGGAGGAAGGGGCAGCGCTAACCTACCCTTGGCAAAGCCTCGTAGTGTAGTATTTTCTATGTTGTCTGGACTTTGACGTGGGATGGTTGGGGGAGACAACACTTTCTTCGTCCATCCCCAGCTTTCCCCTGGAGAATCGAAGGCACCTACTCTCATGAAACTGGAAAACCCCATAGTTGAAAGGTTTCAGCTTGAGACTGGGGTCAAAACCGAACCTGTGGTCTGAGATCATGGACGTGCGTGCATATTAACTTGATTGTGCCTCAGCACCTCCCCGCCTTAAGGGTGTAAAAGTGTGGTCACATTTGCAACTCGTCTTGAATTATACTTTACCAAAACTGATCCCTTTAAAAGCAGCTCTGAAACTGTGTTTTACTAGCCTGCCTACTTGTCAGTAAGGGCAGTTATATTAATGAGTAGGCTTTGCTTTGGAGAAGGCAACATTTGTGGCATGTACTTCCTTTGCAGTCCAGTAACTTCTAAATTGTGGCCATTAACCTTCTGAGGTTGTTGACCCCTATAAACTTTGGACCAAGAATGAATGAGGCCTATTTTTAACAAATGAAAATGAACTATCAGTTTTAGGTGACTGTATTTTTATTATATTCATTGAGCGAGGTTGAGAATTAACTTCAGTTCATGTATATTGACAAACATATAGGTGTAAGAGACTGAACATACTATTTACACATCCAGGCATTAGAAATAGGCAACTACATAGTCCATATTTGCTGGTTCTGATGCTAAAGTTTCCTGTGATAATTGCAGTTGTAATTTTAGGGAAAATGAGTTAATTTTATTATTTTTTAAAATTTTCTCATTAGATTAAAAGCTTCTTCCTATGTGTTTATACAAACTCCACCACGGATTGATGTTGTGTGTGTGATATATAGAGCTCACATTTTTAGTTTTTATAAAGCTTAACTGGAAGTCATGTAAATTCAGTTGAGAATAGAACTCTTGAAAGTAGTAATAATGGAGGGAGTAAATGGACCAGAAAAAATGTTTTAAAAGTTACTGTTGGTGTTATTTCTTCCATTATTACATGTACAATATTTGTTTTTCTGGAAATTGAATTAAAATTAAAATAGCTAATATTTTAGTATCTCTGTGTGCCAGCCAGATTAAGTGCTTTACACATTTGAACTCAATTAATTCTTACATAATTCAGTGGGATAGTTGTTATGATTATTTTTGTGTTATAGGTGAAGGTTAAATAACTTGGCCAAGGTCATGCATCTGGGAATTAGGGGAACTAGGATTTGGACCCAGGCAGTCTAGCTTCAGAGATCAGACTCTATGCTAGTAATGAAACAGTGCCTCCTAGAAAGCCAAACTCAAAACTAGAAGTTGACACATAGTAGATTTTCAGAAAACATTTTGATAATGCTTAATGCTTGATTCTTAATGTTTAATGTTCAGGAAAAAAATAGTTGGATAAGATCCAGCAAGACAGGATCATCATTTCGTTTAGGGATTTAACCTGTTCCTGGCACATAGTGGTGCTAATTGAATGAATGAATTGCCAAGAAAGGTTTTTAAAAATCAATTTTTAAAAAAAGGACAGACAATTATTTCAACCCTTTATAAAATTTCTTTATGTGCTGTTTTGATTATTTGGCCCATTATCCACCCACTCACACCACCTGTTTTGGCTTTCTCCTGGTTTGGGTTATACTTTGTCAGTGAGAGAAGATGAAGGTAGCAACTTGTAAGCTTTCTGGTTAGAGTAAAGGCAAGCAACAGATTCAGTAGATACCATCCCTCTTTTTAAGTCATTAGTTCTTAAAGTGAGAACACTCTGACTTGCAATTTTAAAGTGTGATTTCTGTTGTAGAGTTGAAGATCACATTTTTGAAACATAAACACTTTTTAAAATATAGATACAATGTTATAGCTTCCTAAGAATGATATTCTTGGAGGTAGGAAAGAAAGGTGGTTTATGGAAGGTTTGTTTCTCCAAAAAGTCTAGGAGGAAGGACTGTGCCTCCAGTCCACTCACAAAGTGCCCCTACTAAAATTTCACTGCCGTTTGGAGCACATAAGATATTTCTGTTTAAAAGGTTTTTTCTATAGTTGAAAGTAAGATTCTGTTGAGAAATATTTAAGTTTATAATGTGTAGTAATTCGTTTTATATGTTAACTAAGCTATAGTACCTAATTATTTAAATGAGTGTTACTGTGGTGGTATTTTGATTAACATCTAAAATCAATTGACTTTAAGTAAAGATCACCCTCAATAATGTGCATGAACCTTATCAAATCAATTGAAGGTCTAAATTTCAAACTGAAGTGTCTCAAGAAAAAAAAAAAATTCTTCCTCAAGATTGCAGCATCAGTTTCTTCCTGTGTTTCCAGCTTGCAAATCTGCCCTACACATTTTCAGAGTTGTTAGCCCCACAAGTGTGTGAGCCAGTTCCTTAAAATAAATCTGTATCTTTGATAAATAACCTAATAGATTTCTAATAGATAGAAATATTTATTTATCTAAAGAAAGGTAGGTAGGTATATGCATATATTTTCTCCTGTTGGTTCTGTGTCTCTGGAGAACCCTATCTGAGTCAGATTTTGGTACTGAGAGTGGTTCTAGAGGAACAGAATCTGCCCTGGTCAGTGTACCTCAGTTGGTTGAGTGTCATTCCCATGCATCATCAAAAGGTTGCCTGTTCAATTCCACGTCAGGGCACATGGCCAGGTTGCAGGTTTGAACCCTGGTTAGGGTGCATAAGAGAGGCAGTGTTTCTCTCTCTCCCTCCCCCTCTTTCCTTCTCTCCCTCCCTTCATTCCTTCCTCTCTTCCTCCCTCTCCCTCTCTCAAATCAATAAAAACATACTAAAAAAAAGAGAGAGAGAATGAGTTATCTGTGCAGGACAATCCCCCCAGTCAGGGCACATACAAGAATCAACCAATGAATGCATAAATAAGTGGAACAACAAATCCATGTTTTTCTCTCTCTCCCNAAAAACATACTAAAAAAAAGAGAGAGAGAATGAGTTATCTGTGCAGGACAATCCCCCCAGTCAGGGCACATACAAGAATCAACCAATGAATGCATAAATAAGTGGAACAACAAATCCATGTTTTTCTCTCTCTCCCTTCCTCTGTCTAAAATCCATTTTAAAACAATTTTATTTTTAAAGAATGAGTTATCTAGTTGGTTATGGTGTTCCTGTAATTGGTTCCCGAATCTGATTAGATTTAAAGGCACTGATGGCTACTCCCTGTGGTAAAGGGCACTTATAGTCCAGGGTGTGATGTGGCAATAGAGATACACAAAATATCACTACTGGGGTACCCCTACTTAAATACTTACAAAAGACAGGGTTCTGGATGACCATGTATTTGATGACTTAAAACACTTTTGTCAAATTAACAAGTCTAATGAGACTGACCAGTTGCTCCTAACTCCTGGAAAAAGTGGAGAAGAGGCGGATGAGCTCAGGCCTTCAAATACCCAGCTCCAGCTCTGCATAACTGACCTGAAACTTTCTGTGTCTTCTCTAAAGAAATTCTTCTCCCCTGAGCTGCAGAGCTGAGATTGCTGAAAACCAAACCCAGAGCTCATCCTGCGAAGTGGCTGAATTATAATGCAAAATGAATCCCCAATCTAACAGGGTGTCTGCTGTTAAAATGAGGACATTGATTGGGAAGGAATGAGATCCATAAATTTGGAATAGGGTCCTGAGCCCCTATATTTTGATCAGTCTTTTTTGCCACCTGTTTGAGGAAGTTAACCTGCTATGACTGAAGAACCTGTGATGACCTTTCCTGAGGTAATTGCCTTGCAAGATATTGCTGATTCTGCGCAAGAACTACCCCTACCACTCTTACTTGCTTCTAAACCTATAACTAAACTTAAGTTTCAGCAGGACCCCAAGGATCAGCTACAAAGTGTGACCCATGAAGAGGTGTGCTGCACTCTTAAATGAATTTTTAAAAAAAATTTCCACAGGTATCTGGGGAATATGTGTGGGGATGGATATCAGAAGTGTGGAACAGTTGTGGCAGAAACGTAAAGTTAGATCAGGCCGAGTTTATTGATACAGGACTACTAAGCAGATTCTGGATTCACTGGTATAGCTTGAGGGGTTAGAAAGGGCTCTAACAGTTTGGTTGTGTGGCTGAAACATGGACCAAAGGTGACCTGTGCTCACCTTTGAAAATGCCAAACCTGCCTTGGTATACCATAGAGGAAAGGATTTAAAGGCTTAGGAATACTGGAATGATAGAGTGGATTTGTCATGTAAGACCTGCTCACCTACCTTTGAAGGTGATTTCACCATGATTTTGAGGAGTAAGTTTGTGAGAGGAGCTCCAGCATCCGTGAAGAGTCCTATGATTGCTCTTCTCTGTGGGTCAGAAATTAAAGTAGGAGCTGCTGCTACTGAACTGGGGATTCTAGAATGCAGTGAGGATAATTGGAAATTGGGCAGATATTACAAAGGAACCTATTTTCTTAATGACATATCAATATACTGAAGGAAAAGAAGCCAGAGGAGAGGTCAGTTGAAGTCCAGGAATGAGAACAGCAGTAAAAACTACAAGGAAAATATAGTTGAGCAGAGTCGAAAACAAGATGATGTTCGCTCAAAATACAAGTGGAGGGCAGACTTTTGAATATAGGGACAGTTTCTTTTCTGAGGAAGGAGTTAATGGATTCTTGGGTGGGTGTGGATGCAGGTCATTCTGGAAGGGGAAAGCTGAAGGTGAGAAAAATCACCCCTCATAACTTTGGTTCATTTTTAAAGGGAAGAGAGAGTTAGCTTTATCTAATTGTTTATTTATTAAATATGTACTGAGTACCTCTTATTTGCCTGCCAGCCTTTGTTGTAGGCACCTGGGATGCAGCAGTGAACAAAACAGGAAAATAAAAACCCAACTCTGACCTTGTGAGACCATAAGTAGTAAACAATAAATAAGTAAACTATACAGGAAGATAAGTGCTATGAAAAAAGAAACAAATGGAGCAAGATAAGGAAAATAGGGATATCAGGGCTGGAGGGGAGGGGAGGATTGGAGCAGTGTTGCAATTTTAAGTAGAACAGTCAAAGTAGGCCTCACAGAGCTGGTGCCATTTGAACAAAGACTTGTAGGAAGCAAATGAGTTAGCAATGCTAACCTGGAAAGACTTCCTAGCAAAGGAAACAGCTAGTGCATAATTCTTAAGGCAGGAGCCTTTTTAGCATGTTGGAAGAGCTGCAAGGGGGCTTGTGTGGCTAAAGCAGAGTGAGCAGTGAGAGTAGGGGATGCATTCAGAGAGGGAAAGGGAGGAGATTATGTAAGGCATTGTGGGCAGCTGTAAGGAGGAGAGACATGATCTGCTGTATATTTTATATTTTATGGTCAGCTAAAAGTATAATAGAAGAGGCTTGAGGAGATTGGGAAAGGTGTGAAATGGTCATTCAGAGGAATGGGAGAGGAAGCTGATCAGGAACCACCATGGGTTGCCATGCAGCATTCAGAGCCTTTGTAAGACAAGCATGATGTACCATCAGTGTATGCTGGTACTAATTTACTCACTTGTGTGGTTTTTGTTAGCTCTGGAGATGTAGTCTTGGGAAAAACAGATGGTTGGAGTGGCTCAGGATTGGATTTTTATGGGCTGGTACTGCAGAAGGACAAAGTAGTAATCCAAGTTATACATTGTAGAATCTAGGCTGGATAAAGACTTCAGAGTGAATCCAGGAGGAGCTGTTAAATTTGAAGGAAAAAGGGGAGGGGGGAGGGAGAGCAGGTCCCTGGAACCAGAGTAAGGGAGTGGAGCCTGGAAGTAGGAAAGGGTACAGAGTGAGATAGTATAGTTTCAGGATGTCAGTTCTGGAACAGTATCAGTGATTCCAAGGTCAAAGACTTGGCCAGTGTAGTGAATTGCCGAAGAAGCTGGGATTTTTTTATGGGTCGTTCAAATGGAATAATAGCAAAAGTTTAGATGAAGTAAGACTATGAGCTTGGTTTAACCTGGTCAGTACATGAGAAGATAAAGAAGGGAAGTTAGAACTAAATGCTGTATCTTGAGGTGCAGTGTGATACTTAACATACTTTACCTCATTTACTCATTATAAATACCATATTATAAAAGTTTCATTAATTAACCCACTTTAGGGATGAGGAAAAAAGCTAAGTAAATGCCAGAAGGGATTAGAACTCAGATCTTTCTCATAGCAAAGATGGAATAATACCTGCCAGAGCTGAAAAGGCGGAAGTGGAACCATTACAGATCACCATGGCTTGCCTTACAGAATTTAGAATCTCTGAAAAGAGATAAATATATAAACATTTTCTGTATGGTGATATATTTATGTAGTAATTTTGGAAAAATCATTGATTTTCTTTGATACATTACACATTGAAGGCTGCTCTGGAAATCAATGAATGAAATCAATGAATGAATGAAAATCCTTGGGGATTCACTAGGGGGCAGAATTGAACCTTTTATGAAGATTAAGAATATAACTATGTCACTGTCACTACCACAGCTTGTCTATATGACTCAATTCTGTAATGAGAAAACTCAAAAGCTGAATGGCTTCAAGGATATGGCTTATATAAATTGAGTCCATCAAATGCATTAGGGAACAGTAAAGTAACAGCCCAGAAAGTCCTACAAATAAACTTAAATGCTTTTACTTTTTCTAAGCAGCAAACTAAATTTGACTTAAAATAGCAGCCAAGGTGTGATTGAAGAGATTGAAATGAATAAATTAGAATATTAATCTGTTGAAAGAAGAAAAACGTCCTTCTATTTATGATAATTGAGGGAGTTTGTATAATTAGAGGCAGTTCAATTCTTCACTTATCCCTTTTATTATGTATGTTTCCACCTGATGAGTTCTACATTCATCCCTTGCTTTACCTGTACTTCAGGTTAAGGCTATACTAAATATCAATTGTATTTGGCAAGGCCCTAGTTGTAGTTTTTAAAATACTAGAGATAGAGTATATAGAATTCCCATATTATTCTTCCCCCTCCCACGTTTCCCCTATTATTAACATCTTGTATTGGTATGGTACATTTGTCAGAATTGATCAGCTAATGTTGATACATTAGAATTCCCTTTTTGCATTGTATAGTTCTTTGGGTTTTGACAAATTTATGACATTTATCCGCCATTACAGTATCATACAGAATAGTTTCATCACCCTAAAAATGCCCTTTGCTCCACCTATTTATCCCTTCCCTCCCCCATTCTAGAGCGACTGATCTTTTTACTGTCTATAGTTTTGCCTTTTCTAGAATGTCATATACTTAGAATCATACAGATGTTTCAGACTGATTTCTTTTACATAGCACCATGCATTTAAAATTCCTTCATGTCTTTTCATAGCTTGATAGCTCTTTTTTTTTTTTAATCCTCACTCATAGGTCCTGACCAGGGATCGAACCCGCATCTTGGGTATGTGCCCTTACCAGGAATTGAGCCCGAGACCCTTTGGTGCATGGGACGATGCTCTAACCACTGGGAAACACTGACCAGGGCACTCATTTCTTTTTCTTTTTTTAAATATGTTTTAATTGATTTTTTTGGAGAGACAGTAAGGGCTAGAGGGGGAGAGAGAGAGAGAAACATCCATGAGAAACATTGGTCTACTGCCTCTTACACTCCTCCTCAATTTAATGGACTTCAGATTTAATAGACAAAATTTCCAGTCTATATGTCATGTGAAAATTAACACCCTGTTAATTTCAAAATGCCTTTAACCAATATTTGCTTATAATTAAATTAGTAGGTTATTTTTTTGTTATTCTCTGTTACTTTAAACAAATTTTAGTATGCCATATATTAGGAAAAAAACACTGTAATATTTTCACTGACAAGTCTTACATATCTACAACTATAGTCTACATATTTAAATCCAAGAGTCACCACTTGTAAACAATGGTTGGCAAATGATTAGCACATGATCACACCCCATCACACGTGGTAATTGGTTCTTTTGTCACCCTGTGGTGTGACTTTCATGTGCCAGCTGATCTTCTGCCGTCCTAAGCCACGCCCCAGCCGTGTGCATTTGTTTACTCGTGGTGACTGGTGAATGCACTCATTTACTAAACCTATTCAGTATAGATTTAAAATTACAATAATAACCCTAGCCAGTTTGTTCAATGGTTAGTCGGCCCAGGATCTGAAGGGACCCAGGTTCAGTTCCGGCCAAGAGCACGAACCTCGGTTGCAGGCTCAAGCCCCCAACCCGGTGGGGGCACGTGTGGGAGGTAACCAATCGATGTGTCTCTTTCACATCGATGTTTCTCTCTTTCTCTCTTCCACTCTTCTCTGAAAAGCAATGGAAAAAATATCCTCGGGAGAGGATTTAAAAAAAAAATTTACACTAATACATATTGAAAACTTTTTTGTGAAATTAAGCTTTTCGTACACACTTAATTTTAATTACACAAAGGTGTCTACGTAAGTAAAAACAGGTAAATTAATTTGTCAGTTTTTTAATGTACGCATTCAGAAAACCTACTTTATTATATAACGCACTTTCGGCTTTAACGGACATGCCCTCACCCGAATTAGTCTGTTACATCGAGATTTTACTGTACTTTATAACTGCAAGTTTGTGCCTTTCATACCCATTTTGCCCCCCGCTCCACCTCTGGCAACCACCAATCTGTTCTCTGTGTCTGAGTCTGGAGTGTTGTTGTGTTTGCTTTTGTTTTAAGATTCCACATAGGGGATCATACCATATTTGTCTTTTTCTGTCTGACTTATTTCACTTAGCGTAGTGTTGTTCAGGTCCATCCATTTTGTTGCAAGTGACAAAATTTTCTTCTTTTTATGGCTGAATAATAATCCATTGTGTGTATGTATATACATGCACACAAACGCTATATATATTTAATTTTTTGAGGAACCTCCATATTATTTTTCAACCTGCTACACCAATTTACATTTCTACTAACAGTGCACAAGGCTTTCCTTTTCTCCATGTCTTTTCCAATACTTGTTATTTCTTTTCTTTTTGATAATAGCTGTTCTAACAGGTAGATTATTTGAGCATTTTTTTCAGATACTTATTTGCCACCTGTATATCATCTCTAGTGAGGTATCTGTTCAGATCTTTAGCCGATTTTGTAACTGGGTTGTTTTTTTCTTGTTGGGTTTAATGAGTCCTCTGTATATCTTAGATACAAGTGGCTTATCTAATACGTGTCTTGCAAATATTCTCTCTCAGTGTGTGGTTTGTCTTATCATTCTCTTAGCAGTGTCTTTTATAGAGCAGAAGTTTTTAATTTTAGTGAAGTCCAACTTACCATTTTTTTTTTTTATTGATTGATTTTAGAGAGGGAGAGAGAGATTGAGAGACAGATATTGATTTGCTGTTTCCACACATTCATGCATTCATTTGTTGATTTGTGTATGTGCCCTGACCAGGGATCAAACCTCCAACCTTGTTCATCTGGATGATGCTCTAACCAACTGAGCTACCTGGCCAGGGCTTATTTTGTTTTCTTTCTTGGGTCATAATTTTAGTGGTGTATATGAAAAGTCATTGCTAAACCCATGATCACTTAGAGCTTCTTCCATGTTTCCTTCTAGAAATTGTATAGTTTTGCATTTTACATGTAGGCCTGTGACCCATTTTGAGTAAAGTTTTGTGAAAGGTATAGGATCTCTAACTAGGTTCCTTTTTTTTTTTTTTGAATGTGCATGTCTAATTTTTCCAGTACCGTTTGTTGGAAAGACTATCCTTTCTCCATTGAATTGCCTTTGCCCCTTTGTCAAGGAGCAGTTGAGCATATATGTGTGCATCTCTTTCTGGACTCTATTCTGTTCCATTGATCTGAGTCTTTTTTTGCCTTTCTATTTGTTTAGAATCCAAACAGAGCCCTACAAATATCTGTTTTTGTAGTAATAAAGTAGCTTCAAAACATTACCCTCCAAGATGCCTGCTAGACACATACTTAAATGATGTATTTTTATGCGATTTAAAAATTGTGTTATGTTACAACTGTATACCTTAACATTAATTTCATGGATTTGGTACCAGTGCCTATCCTTTTACTTTCTAATAATTAATGACTTCTTTTTAAGTGGATTAGTTAAAAAATGGAAATCTATGTAATCTAATTTTTTATAATCTATTCTTTATAGAAGCTGAAATCCATCCATCACCATTCTTCAAAATGCAATGGAAGGTACCAAGGACTGTATTCCAGCTGGCACATAGGACATGCATGGAACCACATAAAGCTGGTCTTTTTGGACATTGTCACTATATAAAGGGACCATTACTTTTGTATACAGCTGAATCCAGAGTAGTTTTGGTACAGGGCCCTCAAAAACAATGGCTGCATTTATCTGCTGCCCAGTGCACTGCAAAGAAAAGGAAGCCATTCGATGCTCCTTCACCCCAACTGGGGTTTCTTCACCATAAACAGTGGGAGCAAGATTCTTTCTCTAAGAGGGTTATGTCATCTAATGCCACAGCTCCAGGAACTCCTTCAGAAAAAAAAGAAGAACCTGATCCTTTACAAGACAAATCTATTAGCCTTTATCAGCGGTTTAAGAAAACTTTTAGACAATATGGAAAAGTTTTGATTCCAGTGCATCTAATAACTTCCGGTGTTTGGTTTGGAACATTTTATTATGCAGCCATAAAGTAAGTTTTTGCTTGATTGATCACCTTTCCCTGTTTTATCAAAATGTTAATCATCTTAAGTGTACTGGTTTTTAAAGCCTTAAATCATTTTTTAAATGCTTTAATGTCTTTAATTGATAGAGAATTACTACTTTTCATAACTTTTTCACATTTTGATAATAATAGCTAACATTTGCTTACTCTGTATCTCAGGCATTGCTAAATTTTTTAACTGTATTATCTCATTTAATCCTCACAGCAGTCATGTGAAACAGGTAATGAAATTCCCATTTTGTTAATGAGAAAACGATGAAGAATAAGCCAAAATAACTTAGGTTTTCCCAGAATAACTCAGAGTCTGATTTCAAAGCTCTTGCTCTCAATCACTGTGCTCATCTCCTATCAATATTTCTAGTAGTACAGAGATAAAATTACATTTCAGAAATTTGGCAGCACTAGGAGTTCTGTACTTATATATTTCTTAAAGTGTTCATAAATGTAAAAAGATATCTATTATTTGTCCATGTGTATGCTTTTAGTGGGAAATTAGTAAGATATTTTTGACAAAGCCTGGCTAGTATCTGTTATAGACACAGACTTGAACAAATTGCAGACTTATGTTTTAATGTTACTCATATCTGATAAATGTCAATGTAATATCTTTTATTCTTATCAGAAGTTAATTTCTTGTACACTTAAAATTTTGTTAAGAGGGTAGATCTCATGTTAGGTGTTTTTTCCTCAGACGGTCCTTATATGTACACTTTATGGAATTCTCTCTCGGTTTATTAATGACATTTTCTGGACATGTATAATTTTTATAGAAGTCTTCAAAACTACCCTTAGTTTATTAGCAGAGCATAAAAGTATATACCGTTTTGCATAAAAGTTATTATAGGCATTCAGTTTTTATTCTTAATTAATCTCCTTTTACATATTAAATTTTCTTTTTTGAGCCATTGAGGATTTTCCTGATTCAGTATTGTGGAAGATGACATGCGTAATGCTTGTTTTTTCTGTCTTCCTTAGGTTGCCTTTAATAAGTATCCAGTCTCCTGCCCTTAGAGGGAGAAATCTAAGTTTTTAATTAATTGAATATGAGAGTCTCACTTGGAATATTAAAAAGAGTACTTTTGTTCCCTTTACTTTTCCTTCTTGAGTTAAAGATTTCTGTAACTAAAACATCAGACCCCAAATAACCTAGTGATACTGATCATCCTTAAGGCTTTTTTCATTGCTATCTGGCATCTGAGGTGGTTGTGACATTCTGCCATCCCCTGTGGAATGCGCCTTTCTTAGCTTTACCCTTCCCCTGCTTTTCTGCAGCATGTGTGTGGAGCATGGTGATGAGACTGTCCACTTTAAAATCACACACCTTTCGCGTCAGAACTTGTCTTTTGGCTGTTTGCCAGCATGCACATTCAGTTGCCAGACCCACCACTGCTGCTCACCTATGACTATAGGTCCAGTTCTGTTATAGCATCTCATAACTAGAAATTTGTATTTTGTAGGATGTGTTGCTTCCCAACATAGTCCTTAATGTTTTTGTTGAATCCTTAATACTTCAGAAGTTGAAAGTTGATTTGTTCAAAGTGAAGATCTTATCACAAGTAATACTTAAAAAATAAAGATTTAGGATATATTTGAATGGCAGTGTATCTTACATTGTGAGATGTTTTATTGTAAAAATTGGAGTTGATTGTACTAAATACAGGTGTGTTTTGAAAATTTTAACTGACAAGCTGATTTTATTTTATTTAGTTTTAGCTAGAAAAAGTTCTCTGTTATTTGCTTGTTGCCTACTTTCTATTAAAATAAAGAAGAAAAAATAATTTGTAACTTAAAAGATAAACGTTAGAAGTCACGCTGCATTACTGACCAATGTTTGTTTTAGTCACTTTGACGGCTAACATGCTGCCTTGCTAATCACCATAAAGCAAAATGCCGTTCTTTATTTAATTTGCTCAGTGATCAAGGTCTCAGGCTTTTGAAACATTTTATTTCAGGGAGATCTAAATTGTGTATGGTAGTGGATTTTATTTTAAAGTAACCTTTGTTGTCACTTCTATCTGGCAGAAGCTTACAGATATATTATGTCTTCTAAGCAGAAGTCCTCTGCTCAAATGAAGCTCTGCAATGATGGTTTTGTCACTGTGTTTAGATGCCTCAGGTTCCTAAAGATACAGATCTACTCTGAGACAAAATCTGACTGATTTTTATAGCACTTTACCCAGACTGCGAGTGTGCCTTTGCCCTTGTGTGTTTCTGCATTAGTAGAAGAAGCATCCATAAGCATCCATGCATAAGGCTGGCAGTTTGTGAAGCAGAGATTTTTGTCAGGTTGTGGGAAGTTCAAAATAAAAAGTGACAAAAAGCAGATATTATTATTTGAATCAAACCCTCATTAATACTTCTGACTTAGCAATTCCATATTTAGCAACTACAATAAAGAAAATGAAAGCTATTTTTATTTTTATTTTTTATAAAGTCAAGTCATCAAATCAGTATTTTACCAAAATTTTTAAATATATTTCGGTGCTCCTATATTGGGTGCGTATATGTTTATAAGGGTTATATTCTCCTGCTGGATGGATCCCTTTAGTATTATGTAGTGACCTTCTTTGTTTCTTGTTATGGTCTTTATTTTGAAGTCTGTTTTGTCAGAAATAAGTATTGCTACCCCAGCTTTTAAAAGATTCAAATCAGTATTTTAGAAATACGTGGAACCAGGTGCTTGTTTCTTTATTTTACAAAGGATGCTTATGCAAGGTGTCTGAGGCAATTATTATTTGATCTTTTTTTTTTTGGTTCATCCTAACCCAAGAATATGTTTTCCATTGATTTTTTTAGAGAGAGTGAAAGGGAGGGGGAGAGACAGAGAGAGAGAAATATCAATGTGAGAGAGACACATCAATTGGTTACTTCCCCCTCATGCCCCAACCAGAGTAGGAATCAAGCCTGTAACCGAGGTATATGCACTTGACCAGAATCGAACCCTTTAGTCCACAGGCCGATGCTCTGACCGCTGAGCCAAACCAGCTAGGGCTATTATTTGATCTTTATGATAGTTTTTTTTAATCACTCAGTTTTGTCTTATATTTGGCTCAATGCTTGTTTGTCCCCCCTTCATGATTGCTATTAAATATGTAGATTTTACATACTGGGCTTAGTCTGAAGGAGAAAGTGATTAATGAAATAATTTTATAATTTTATTGGTACTGTAAGGTAATTAGCATGTTCTGGTAGGATGTTACTGTCCATAGTGACTATTAGATCCATAGAATAGTCTTTATGATACTAAGTCTTGCTTTAATAGGATTCTCTCTAAGAAAGGGGTTTTTAAAAGAACTGACGGAGATTGAAAAAACCAGATTGGATTTGTAATTGATATCTTCCTTAAACTCGTTAAAGATTACTTCAGTTTTCTGGTTTCCTCTTGTAGATGATACATAATTTTCCTTGATGATGTTCAGCCACATCTATTGAGTAATCCCTGGTTTCTTAGTATTGTAGTGAAAGCGCAGAGAGGGACAACTTTTCCCCAGTTAACTGTTATTTTTTAATATTAAAAGCAAATGAGTTTGCAACTACCATAATAATAATGGGTCCGGGCAATTGTTTTTTCTGAATTACAAAGAGAAAGTGTATGTGTACAGTGGAGTAATCTGTGGACCCTACCTTAACCAAGAATCAAATTTAACATTGGTGATGGAACAAACTGACGTTATATGGCCCCTGTTGATACACCGAAATGAAGAAAACTTTTAACCAGATTCTAATCATAAGGAGACCATCAGACAAATCCAGATTGAGGGATAGTATACCATGCAACTAGACTGAAAGCTTAAAAATCTCAGTGTCAAGAAAGACATGCTGCCTTCCTCCTCAACAAAAGGTCCTGGGAAGCATTTCTAGAGAAAAGGAGACTAGAGACACATAACAGGAGAGCATTAAGGGACATACTGGGCCAATTCAGGAAATTTTAATATTAAGTAATATTTTATTAACTATATATATTATTGCATATGTTAAATTTCTGGAGTGTGATTATTATACTATGTTTTATAGGAGAATCACAGAACAAGAGCCTTGTTCTGATTTAGAGGTGAAGGGTCTCAATATCTGCAAAAGTACTTGGTGAGAGAGCACACAAGTGAGCACACTCATGTGTGCACATGCCAGTGTAATAAAATGTTGATAATCAGGAAAACTACAAATAAATTAGGTCTTAACAGCTCAGTTAGAGACTTTCTCTTCCTTCTCTCCCTCCAAAAATGTGTTGCAATTTATGGTAATTGTACCTCACCTGCCTATTAAGTCTGATAATAGCATCCTTTGAGAATAATAGAAGTTTTCATCAAACCCATAGAAGCATTTATTCTTTGCATAGTAATACAATAAGTAGTTATATAACTTGCTTTTACAATAATAGTATAGTTTGACATGTAATATTAGAGGTAAAAATCTTAGGTCTTGAAGTTTGAGTTGGAGCCTTCTAAGGAAGTGGTGTTCAGTTGAGGAAACGAGTGAGGTAAGTGATTCTGATCCTTTTCTCCTAGGTTACATAAAGGTATTAATTTTGCCCTGATAAATGCTTCTGTTTCTTTGAGTATGCCAGCTAGAGATGTCTCTAGGCTGCAGCAGAATTTACACACAGTAAGCTGTGCCGCAGCACGGTGTTTGTGGGCATATTGTTCTTTTAGAGTGAAATTAAAGTGCTCGATAATGTAGAACTGACTTTTAAACAACATTGTCTTTTGGTGTTTTCAGATAATCTTTTGAAATTATTTATCCCTCAACATGTGTGTGTACATATATATATAAATTACTTTTTGTTTCTTTCTTAGAGGAGTGAATGTCGTTCCTTTTCTGGAGCTTGTTGGGTTACCTGACAGCATAGTAAACATTCTGAAAAATTCCCAGAGTGGAAATGCACTGACAGCATATGCCTTGTTTAAGGTAGGTGCTATTATAAATTAACTACTCCTCGCACTTAACCGGTGACCTGCTCAGTTCCCCAGAAAACTCCATGTTAGCACCCAAGTCTTCTTTTGTAACTTAATATACTGTATTTCATCTCTTGCATGTCTAATAATTAAAGTTTAAAATTTTTAAGTGTAAATAAAGTGATGGTTTAGGAAGAGTGCTACGTAATATTGTAAAGTTTAATTCAAGTTGTTTTATGTGATAAACCTTAGTTAGACTTAGTTGGTAGATGTTATGTATGTTTCATTTTAGAAGTTTGTAGATTTTGTAAGTTTTCTGGATTTAGACAATGACATCTTTGTAGTTTCTACACCTGTGGGTCTTTTTTTCAGAAGAGGAGACACATTGTAAAGTGTGGGATTATGCCATATTAATCTCATTTTTCTCAATTGACAAATAATTTATGAGGTTCTTCGTAGCTTCATCCTAAGAAAGAAAGCAGGTAGAAAGCATCTGGGAACTAGATGTTACTTTACTTTTATTGTATAAAAATACTTAGATTTTTGGCTTTTTGATAGTACTCAAAACTAAAGTTTGTTTGATTCTGTCATCCTTATTAGAATCCTCTGGAATCTTGGGATATTTCGTCTTTTATTATAATTTTTACTAGCAAGCTATACTTAATTGCTGAGTTTTTCAACATTAAAACTTATTAAATTCATAAATTATCAAGTTTATAATTATAGTGGGTATAATTTAACCTTAATAAATCAAACTATTTGATAATTTAAACTATTCCTTAATTATAAGTGCTCCTTATCCCATGCTTCTACAACATGTATAGTTCTTATGTAGTTCATATCACAGTCTCTGTGTTACTTTTATTTTTTAATGTTTTCTTTATTTGATTATGAGTGCCCAGGAATTTAGAATCTCGTCTTCTTTCTCTTTGTGTTTTCTGTATGTCTGGTATTGTGTTTTGTAGACAAATTGGTGCTCAATGTACGTTTGTTTGATTGGATTGAAACATGAAACTACGTGTAGGTAGATTACTGTTAGCAGTGTTTCTTCTCATCATTCCTGTGCAATGTGGAAAATGTGGATGGGCATTCTCCTGGGTATTTACTGTAACCCACAGTCTTAAGCAGAGCAACAAACACTGAGATTTATTGCTTTGGTAAGGTAAAGCCCCAAAGAGTTGTGGCAAAGATGAAAAAAATAACCTGTGAGTATGACCTTGTGGCCTTGGCTAGGATACACTCATAAGCCCCTGTACTGTCCTTGAAATGCACCATTGTTTAAGTTGATTAAAGTTTGTTGGGCTCCTACTGTGTGCCAAGTGCCAATTCTAGGTACTAGGAATATTTTAATTAAATAAAACAGTACAAAATACCTTCCCTCGTGGAGTTTATATTCTAATGGTGGAAGGTGGTTAGAGAGACAAAGAAGGGAAAGTTAAAAAAATTAACACATGCAGTGTATTTAGATAATGGTAAGTGCTAAGAAGAACAGACCAGTGATGGGGGGTGTGCTTGTGTTGTTGCTTGGGGTTTTTCAGAAGGAGGGCTGCAAGCAGGTGAGAGAGCTCAGCAGGCAGCTGTGTGGGAGGAGAATATTTCAAGCAGGGGAAACCAAGTACAAGATCCAGAGGCTGCAGGGTACCTGCAGCGTGTGAGGGAGCAGGAGAAACCAGTGTCGCTGGAGCGAGTGAGCAGGGCCACGGGCAAAAAAGTGGCCACATCAGGGTAGCCTGCCAGGCTGTTGTGAGTGCTCTGGCTGTTACTCTGAAGATCAGATGGAAAGTCACTGGGCAATTTTGAGCATCCAACTTCTTTTAACAAAATCACTTTAGCTGCTGTATTGAAAACAGTCTCACAGGGCAAGGGTAGAAGCCCACAGGCCTGCCAGGAGGTTGTTGCAGTGGTCTAGGTGAGAGCTGATAGTGGCCGGAACCAAGGTGGTAGCAGGAGAGGCCGTAAGAAGTAGGTGGACTCTGGATATATTTTTAAAGTATCTAACAGGTTTTGGGTCTAAGCAACTGAAGAGTACAGTTGTCATTTCCTGAGGTCCAGACAACTTAGAGAGGGGCAGGTTTGGGGTAGTACCATTGAACATCAAGAGGTCAGTTTTGAATAGATGACATTTTGAGATCTATTAGATACCCAGGTGGAAGTGAGGAGGTGGTTATATATACTGGACTTTAGAGAAAAGGCAGGGTCTGGAAATCCACATTTAAGAATCATCAACACATAGATGGCACTACAGACATGATACTGTACAAGACTGTCAAGGGAATGAGGTAGGTGAAGAAAAGAAAGGTTCCAGCACTGAATGCTGTCCCACCGTGTTCAGGGGTAGGCAACAGGAGGAGGAATCAACAAGGACCCCTAGGAAGGGGCAGCCTCTGAGACAGAAGGAAACCAGGGACGCAGGGGCCTGGCAGCCAAGCCGAGGACGTGCACGGAAACACTCTCGGGTGGTTCTCAGGTTCCACGGGACGCTGCTCCGCGATGAGGGCAGCTTTTGTGGAAGGAGCATACGTCCTGGAAAAGTCAAAGGAAAGAGATTTGGAAGTGAAACTAAACTAAATTTAGTAAAGAAGAAACATTTGGCCCATGCTTGCCTCTCACTATCAAAAGTAGTTTGGTTCTAGTTTAGTATTAGAGAGTGTCTATAGGTGGCAGGGTTTTAAGTGATAGAGACCTGTGTCCCTTTGTTGTTGGTTATCGATCCTGAGCCCTCTTTGATTTCCCAATGAATTGCCCCCACTCCCAGGTTCACTAGCACGCAGTCATAGACTTTAGAATGTTCACGCTGCCACTATGAACATTCTGTAATCCTGGGTCAGTGCCTGAGTAACAGACATTTATAAAATGAGTTTGCAGAAGAAGCACCTCTTGTTAGGACGGAGAGCCATATAGAATGAAACTTCATTAGCATTGTGAAGCAATAAAGTAATTTCAAATTGTTTTTGCCTGTGATGATAGTCATAATCAGGTAGTGACCTGCCCGTTTGCTATTTCCTTCAGATTGCAACACCTGCCCGATATACCGTGACTTTGGGGGGAACCTCCTTCACTGTGAAGTATTTGCGTAGTCGCGGCTACATGTCAACACCACCTCCTGTTAAGGAGTATCTACAGGACAGGATGGAAGAGACAAAGGAGCTTCTCACAGAGAAAATGGAAGAAACAAAGGATAGACTCACTGAAAAGTTACAAGAAACCAAAGAAAAGGTTTCTTTTAAAAAAAAAGTGGAATAAGGTGCCTTGTATAAGAGGTTACAAACAATTCCTGCACTTTAACCCTTTAGAGATGAGGGACAAAGATACATGCTCCTGAGTGTATTTTTTGTTAATTGCCTGAATATGCCAGTTCTCTGAGGGTTAAAGAACTAAGATAACCTTTTTAACATTAACTGTCACTAGAAAAATCAGTGTTTTTTGAAAAGGAAAAAATGAACCCAGCACAAGAATTTCACATCAATAGCAGCGTTAAGCAGGGGTTAATGTCTAAGCTCCTTTTCCAGGTCTTCAGAAGCACAGGTGCTTTTTTGTTGCAGCTACACTTTAGGCACACAAGGCAGTGGACTTCCTGGATAACTGATGTGGCCCTAGACAGGAAGTTAACGCTGGGTCTTCATCTTTACGTTACTCATTGGGGTCTTAACTATATTCAGTTCTCATTCTCAATATGGAGACAGACTTTTATCTAAATTGCCTGCAAATGAGGATATTTTGTTTCTATAAAAAATGTCTAACAGTTACATACCAGTTAAAATAATAGACTTTATATGAAGAAAGCTGAATAAAAATTGAGTCATGCATGTAAATAAGATGTATTGGTTATATGTAAATGAAAAAATTGACCATTTAAAAAATGATTTTTACCTGAAGTTGTCATAATCAAATTTTTAAAGCAAATATATATGGCCATACTACCTTTTCCCCTAGAGCATAAAACTACTGTGAATTGTTTGTTTCCTTTTCAATTTTTCAGAGGAAAAGTGAAAATAATTATACCTTAAGTTTATTGTTGAAATCAGATTATCTTAAGCAATGACTCAAGTTTGTGGTTCTCAAGAAATATGGATTTAGAAGGAGGGAAAGTGGCACCAGGTTGTCATGGCGCTGACTCACTCACCCTGCCATATGGCAGGTCTTTGTCTCCACAAGCCAGTGCTCTTTCCCAGTGTCTTCACCCAGGGTTAATGTTGATCTCATTTGGAATAAATTTTAAAATTGCAGCTGCTGCTCTTTCCCTGATATTGAAACCTTGCTTGAGCATTTTACTTGAAATTTTTTATAGTAAAGCTATCATTAAATTATCTGCTTGGAATGAAATTCAACCATTATCAGATAATGAAAGTTGTCATGATTGTGTGGGTGTGTTTAAGGATGTCTGTATCTGGTTTTATGTGTTTTTTTCTAAATATGTTTTTACTGATTTCAGACAGAGGAAGGGAGAGGTAGAGAGAGAGAAACATCAATGATGAGAGAGAATCATTACTCGGCTGCCTCCTGCACACCCCCTACTGGGGATCAAGCTGGAAACCTGGGCATGTGCCCTGACTGGCAATTGAACCGTGACCTCCTGGTTCATGGGTCAATGCTCAACCACCGAGCAACACCGGCCCGGCTATCTCTGTCTGTTTTAACTGCTTTTTACTTCAATTCTCACCATTGAATTGATATTTGGAAGAGGGAATGGCCTCTTCCTAGATTGTCAGAGGCACCACCAGAAATAATCCGGCAGAAATCACTGCTATTTGGCAGGATTTTGTATTTAATATTTAGTTTGGCCAAATTTAAAAAATACTTTAAAGGGGAAAGAGTGTTTACATTTGATACATTTAATCATTGGAACACTTCTTAAATTTATATGCTGTGGTTGGAATCTTCTTTCATGGTGGGGCAGAGTAGTAAAGGGAGGGGTCAGGAGCTATTGCTGGGCCACGTGCAGTGCTGGTCAGGAGAATGTCTGTCTTCCCAGACAGAGTGGAACTTGCGCTTTCAAACTGACAGCACATTTTCAAATATAAATATAGTTGGTATGTTTTTGCTTGTTTATTAAATAATTCACATATTTTCAGATATTAAACGCTAAGATATTAACAAATTTCTTGTTTATTTTTTATTTTTTAAACCACTTGCCTGTGTTTTAACATCTTGCATTATATGGAACTCTTCTGAAACAATTTCCTTTCACTGTGCACATTGCACAGGACATATTTTCCAATGGGGATAAATTGTGGGTTCTTAGAAGTCACTAATAATCCTGAGACTAAAATTTGATTTTCCTGAGTATCCAGCTTTTGTTCAGTCCATTTGAGTTTTGTTTCCATTCAGTTTCATAATTATGTTGCGTTTATCTAGTTACAGAAAGTGAGATGCTGATGAGTGCTTTCAAATTCTCTTGTAAAAAAATTCTTTGAATTCCTCACTAGTTTCTGGTTGCCAGAATCCAACCGCCCAGACTTCAAAGGAATGTATATGTTCTTGAAATAATGAAAAGTGGTATCTTTGCATGTGAAAGGAGAAAGTTGAGATATATATATAATTTCTAACTGTATGAGGGATGTCTGAACCAGTTTCCAAATGAGGTTTTATTTACTCTAGGTTAATACACATCAGAACCAGCGATCCCTGTATCACTTCGTATCAGGCGAGGTCTGTTTAGTTAAAACCAGTTCATGTACCCCTAAATTTTTTATGACAATTGTTTTTAATTCCGTAGTTATTATTACTTGGGGTTTCTAGTGTTTTATTTGCTTTGCAACTCTCCACACTAAAACTCACAACGTTACTCTGCCACAACATAACTCTGCCCTACAGTGAGATGTGGCAGGAATCGCCTGGCGGCGCACTGGGGCTGGGGCTGCAGCTCATGATAATCGCTACTGATTTGAAGCTTTATTTAGCCTTCATCTGTACCCTTGTAGTCAGTAAGGTCTTGCCACATTTTATTAGTGAGGTTGAGAAGTTTATTATTTGTTGTTCTGCCCCTCCCCCCAATATTAAACTGAAGTGTGTGATTTGTTTAAACTTTGGGTGAATCATAGCTTAGTTTGCATGTGCAGCTCATTTGTTTCTATACATTTTGTTTGATTGTCTTTCTCCTCTCAAGGTTTTAATCGATATATATATCTCTTCTGAGAAGTTTTTTGAGATACAAGTTTTTCTCTTTGATTTGTGGACACAGTGCTGAGATTCAATCACTACATGGAACTCCTGGCTATGAAAACAAAACAACTCGAAGGGCTATTTTTCCAGGCAGCCCCCAGGGGAGCTACAGTGACCATCAGATGCCAGTTTCAGAAAGGCACCATACCTTCAACCCTCTGTTCGCCCCTC